AAATTTCTTTATATTTCGTGAATTTACAAACCATAAAGCATCTGCCTTAAACTACATTACCAAAAAAGATCGGATTTAGACTAATGTCCGAGTTTTCTGGACTTGAAGTCAACCATTCGAACATTTGGAAGAAACCAACTAACGTGTTCTCCTTCAATTTCGCTAGAAGAAATATTGGCGCCAAATCCGCTTCTGGTACACCACGATCGGGCCAATCAACCCATTGATAGTGGTTACATTCATGTGTTGGTTGTCCGCTAACATTAACTTCTAGACGAGTTACGCGAATCTTCACTTTTGTTTCCATGGGAAAGGAAAACTGAAGCTAACATTTTTATCTAACGTCATCTACTGGTCTATCTAATCCTACATAATATTGGCCTTTGCATAGTATGCTCACTCCATCCCCGAATTCAAGAGTTTGACCATCTTGTGTGGGAAAATATTCTGCACATTTGTTTGCGTTCTAAGCAAAAAAAAGATTTTTCTTCGACATTTTTGTACTTGAAAAAGTCCTTCGTACTTGTTCGATGAAGTTGCACAGCATGAGTATTGACGAGGACTTTTCTTGCACAACCATATACCAAAATTCTGGGCATGTTTTTGGTAGGGGTGCCTGGAAAACGCTTATATTTAGATAGTTGTGGCGATAGGTAGAATTATAATTAGTGTTAGAGCCTATGTCTAGGCAATTGTGTTTCCTAGTGCTCATTGCATTACTGTAGTCGACTTTCTGAATTTCAAATCATAAGAAATTTCCGAAAACAAGTGAGAAATTGCTTTGGGCCATTTCCTGACTATAATCCTTATTTGCCGCATAGCCCAACTAGCGAATTCTATCCAAGCTCAGGTGTTGTCTGCTGTCTCCCGCCAACGATTCTTCTAGCAGGAGCAATGGCGAGAGACGCAAAGCTCACTGCGGATGGTTGCAGCTCGCCCAATTTGGTCCCAGTGCTAACGCAAAATCCTCTATTTTTGTTTTGACAAAGAATGATAACTTAACCGTGTTTAGCATACCGAAAAAGTTTAGAAAATCTTGAAAAAACCCAAAAACAAAAACGTTCTGACTATACGTGCTATGTTGCAGCAATGTTAACAGCACTCTTTGTCTTTACAAACAAAAGCCACATAGTTTATCCAAACTTACCTGCGTACAAATAAATCTTTTCGGATTATTAGGTGTTGAAACATAATTTG